TTTTTAATTTCTATTTTTAGTTGACTTGCTAATTTTTTCTGTTTTTAGTAGAGACAGGGTCTTGATCTTGCTCAGGATGGTTTCGAACTCCTGAGCTCAAAAGATCCACCCACCTCAGCCTCCCAGAGAGTTAAATGTTTTTTAAGTCATACATTACAAAGTCAATTTTATTACCACCTATTATAGGAAATGAAAGTCATTTGTTAATTTGGAAATCCCCTCAAAATTTAGTCCAGTGCTCCAGTTAGCACTGGACAACCTAGACAGACCTTTGGCTGAACTGTGGAAGATAGGCTGTGAGCAGGTTACTCTTAGCAAGATCTCACATGCTTAGCCTTTAAGATGCCAGTGATTGAGTCATCTTTTCTGCAGCAGGCTGGCTTTGCTAGCTCCTAGACTGCTGCAATCACTTAGTCACAACCTTTACGGTAGAGGGCATGAAACTGCTGGTAATGCTCAATTTTCAAATCTGCATATGTGTCTTCTGATACAGCAGATAATTTTATATCCAGAAAATAGTTGGAACACTTTTCAGCAGCAATCCAGGGTTGCATGTACAGCCACCTTGGCACCAGTGCCCTTTCCAGAGCACAGACTTTCTACACTTTAGCATACCATTTACTCATGATCTAAATCACTCCCCAAGGTTTGGCTTCTAAATTCTCTCCTCTGCCATTCCCTTCGTACATCATTCCTCAGATTAGCTGTGTGATCGTGCATATTTGAGTAAGACTGACCACTTGGGATGCTTCCTTTTTTCCTACCCTCCCTTTCACCTGCCCTCCTTTCTTTTTTCCTTTCCGTCTTTACTCAATAAAGTATTATATTTTTAAAATGTAATTCTACCATCCTGGCACAATAGTTGTTAGCAATTTTATATGTTCCATTCAAGTTTTGTTGTTTATTAATTCAGTTGTGTCTGTAGAGTATGGCTCTATATCTGTCTGATGTGCACCACATTCTAGCTAGCACAGTCCTGTCCAGTTGCAGTTCTACACCTTTTGCTCCCAGCAAGGGAAGCATAAAGGAAAACCAGTAAATGACAGTAACTTATTCTAGAAATAATCTTGAATTTGGCCTTCTTTACCTTTTTTAAGTTCATAGACTTTAATATTTTATTAGTAGTAACAAATTCCTTATAGCCTAACAGTGTGTCTCAATAGTATGATTAATAATTCCTGGTTTATAAGGTAGGCATACCTATCTCAGTTTATAGTTGGGGAAATAGAAAGGAAAAGTAAACTATCTTTTATCTATTACAAATTTTTTTTAGTAATATAAAGGAACTCAATGTATATTTCTAGGTTCTTTATCTCAAGCCTTCACATCATGTTTCCATATTGTATATTAGTCTTCATAACTATTTTAGTCACTACTTAACATCCCATATTGTTGGATGTTTAGGTTTCTGTCTTCATCTTCTATATGTAAAATTGTAGTCACATTTCTAAGCATATAGGTTATTTTTTTAAATGAGATATTATGCAATTGACTAAGGTGGTTTTTTTTCCCTGTTAGATTATTTCCTTAGAGCACCTTCCTAAAAATGCAATTATTAAGACAAAGGAACTTTTTCTTTCTTGATACATATTTTTTTAAAAACCTGAGGCATTTTTGCTTTTACTTTTAAAATTTTAATAGGAATTTTTTTTAATCTAAAATAACCAATATAAAATATTAAACAGACCCTATATATAAGACCTTGGCAGCAGGTTTTTAAATTGTGGTAAGATACACATAACAAAACTTACCATCTTAATCATTTTTAAGCGTACAATTCAGTATTATTAGGTACATTCACATTGCTGTGCAACCAATCTCCAGAAAGCAGCTTTACTCTTAGAAAAGCAAATGGTCCATTAGAGTAATTCAGACAGAATGTAAAGAAAGTGGAAAGAATCTGAGGAGATTAATTCATACCTTGGCATGAAAAATTAGAGGACTTTTAAATCTTCTTCAGAGCTAGTCAACCAGATTATCAAAATGAAATATAGCAATGAGCCATCAGTGTAGCATTCTTTAATAACAAATGCACTAGCTCATACCTCGCAGAGAATAAATTCATATGAATTAAAGATATAAATGAAAAAGTACTCAAATAAATACAGGTTGATACATATGTACTATTGAGTGAAAAAGTATTATCCCAAAGATAGACATCAACAAAACCATTCACATTTTAATGTATTTAATTTTTTACTACTGACTTTATAAAAGTAACCACAATATTAGTACTCTTGGGGCAGTGAAATAGTGATTTTTATTTCTTTCTCAATGTTTATCGCTACTTTTTTTTTTTTTTTTTTTAAAGACAGAGTCTTGCTCTGTCACCCGGGCTAGAGTGTAGTAGCGTCCTTAAAGCTCACAGCAACCTCAAACTCCTGGGCTCAAGTGATTCTCCTGCCTCAGCCTCCAAAGTAGCTGGGATTATAGGCACATGCCACCACACCCAGTTACTTTTTCTACTTTTTTGTGGAGACAGGAGTCTCACTGTGTTGCTCAGGCTGGTCTCAAACTCCCAGCCTCAAGCAATCCTCCCACCTTGGCCTCTCAAAATGCTATAATTATGGGTGTGAGCCACCATGCCCGGCCTATCTCTACTTTTTTTTTCCATTTTTTACTATGATTATGTTTTACTTGCTTAATAAGAAACAAATATGTGTATATCTATAAACTTTAATATGTACAGTCTGGAACTCCAATAGTATATTACCTTTCCATTATCATATGCATCTTGGAAAGACCTTAGTTTACACTGTTGCATTAATCATACTGTCCTTGTGTCATTGGTTCCTCTTTAAACTTTCATGTTCATAGCCTTATAATTGACTTACATTTGGTGTTATAAGCTCCATCAAGTTCCAGCTTACCAGTGGTCTCTTCAAGTTTTCAGAATGACAGCACTCTTAAGCTAAGTAATCTGCCTCTAGAAAGGACTAGACTTGCCATTCCAGGCAAACCACAAGACTGTCCTGAATGGCTCTTTCTAGCAATACTGACAGATTAGCCACACAAGATTGATTTTCTTGACCTATTGCAGCCTCTGCAGCTATTTGGCTTCAACTAACTGTATATTATTAAGCATTACCCTGTTAAAAACATTGCTCTTTTAACTATACTTCTTCATCTGCCTAATTCTATGCATCTTCATCCACAGAGCTTCAAGGTAGAATTTGCTTTAAACTGTGAATTTGTTCCTGTTGAATTTCATGAAATCCGACAAGTAAAAGCCAGTTTTAAGAAGCTGATTAGGGCTTGTATCCCAAGCACCATCCCTACTGACTCAGAAGTAACCTTCCTGAAAGCGCTGGGAGACTCTGAATGGTTTCCACAGGTAATGTCTGGAGCAACTTGTCTTATAACTCAAGGAAAAAGAGGCCCAAATAGTGCACAAATCAGCTGTTTAGTATATTCACAATGTTGTGGAACCATCACCACTGTCTAATTCCAGAAAAATTATGAGTATCTGAAATAGAACTTACTATAATCATGAAAAAACAAATTTTAAATTCAATAACTTTGCTAGGAAGGCCATTTAGAATCTTTCTGTCTCTTCCAATCTATGGAATTATAGTTCTACTTCTGAGGAGATCATTTAAGCTTATTTTATTTTATTATGTGTTATCTCGATGTACTATTTTAAAATGTGGCTACTTTTTAAAAGTATCATTGTTTAATCATGATTTGACAAGAACTTTAAGTATCTAAAACATCAGTGGTTCTTTTGTCCAAGTGCTTTATCCCTAACTTGTTTAATTACCCACAGTTGATAGCAAGTCTGACTGTCCTCTGTGCTCAGAAAGTGCTTGATCCAATTGTGGCCTCCTTTCCTGTCTCTTAGCTTCACAGGATAATGCAGCTGGCTGTGGTTGTATCAGAAGTACTTGAGAATGGTTCCTCAGTTTTGGTCTGTTTGGAAGAAGGCTGGGACATCACCACACAAGTAAACTATTATATATATTTTCAGATACTTAGTTTTATATTTGTATTTCAGTTTAGTTGTTTTTAAATTCTACAGATGAATCTTTTATATAACAAGTAATGCGTTTATGGACAGAGAAAGTCACATGTTAAACCCCACCTGGTATCTATCAGGAAGCACTGTACTATGAGCTTTCAGGCCCTACGTACCCTGGAGCTCTGGCTTGGGGCATCAGGCTCTCACATACAAAGATGTACCGGGCAAGCTTGCAGATAGAGTCCTTGACCAGCAGTGTGGGACATGGACCATCCTTCCTGGGTTTTGGAATTCCAGTCCATTCCCTGGCTCTCTATAAGTCCCTCCTTTACTCACTCCAGAGTGAAAAGGAAAAGTATAAATTCAAACTACATTAAGACATTAATCTACACCTGCCAAAAAGCATAATTGGTGTGAACTGATCCTCTGGCCTCTAATTAACTTAGGAAAGGTTACAGTCAGCTAACTGGCCAGTTAAGGATTAAAATCTTAATTAACTGAAAGAAAACATGTAGCCAAAATGAATTTGAGTCATAGTTTTTACTGGAAAGTTTGCAGAAGTCATTTGAGTGGCTGTCCTGGAGCAGTTAGTGAACAAATCTGCTGTCCAGGTAACTTTGCTTATGAATAGCTATCATCAAATGGAAGTGCGTTTATCTAAGCAACAGGACTTTTTCAGGACTGAAATTAATGAAGAATCCATCCTGCTTGTGCCCTAGGTGACATCCCTGGTTCAGTTACTGAGTGATCCCTTTTATAGGACACTTGAAGGCTTCCGGATGTTGGTCGAGAAAGAGTGGCTCTCTTTTGGTCACAAATTCAGTCAGCGGAGCAGCTTGACCCTCAACTGTCAGGGTAGTGGTTTTGCTCCAATCTTCTTACAGTTTTTGGACTGTGTACACCAGGTAAGTAGAGTATGCTTAAATTGACTTGGTATGAAGGAAAAAAAAAAAGTGCTAGCATTTATTGAGCATTGTGATGCCATGCCAGGTACCTTCTTGTCATAACTGATTGACTCAGCCATAGGACATGCTGAAATCTTAGCAGCAAACTCCTGGGAATGGATAAGAAAAAAAACTACTTGGTTTCTGAAACTAGTACAGCTAAGCTGGCTATTGGGCTTGCCCCCAAGTGAGATAGCCAGTACTCTAAATTACTGTCTCCAAAGAAGAAGAGCAAACTTGGGCTTGTTCTATGAGAACATTTGGGCAAGGGTAGAGCAAAAATCTCTAGGTAACGGCAGGGCCTGAAATCCAGCACATGGTCTTCCCAGTTTGGGAGGAACTTAGCTTGTGCTTGGGAACATAGGAGGTAGACCCTAACTCCTAGAGAATCCGGGCCCAGCCCAGGCAGGCCTATGAACACTGGCTCAGTTCTACTGGGTGACCTGATCAGGGCTAATCAAGAGGCCAGACAGAAGTCCGGTATATAATCCCTTTAAGCCCATTGAGGCTAGGGGAGGTATGAATGCTCTAGGCTCCCTTCTGCCGTCATCCCAGGTACGTCAGATACACACTTCTTGATGGGGCCTTAGTCAGGATTGGGCTTGAGAATTGGATGGCTCTGGGCTTGCAAGCTGAAGGCTAAATTAGGCTAGGAAATATTTCCAGCTTTGTTTCATTTGACCACAATCCCACGGGTAAACGAATGGGTTCTGGCATGTCAAACATATTTGTGGGAACAGTGAGCCTCTTTGAAATACACTGGCCTCAAGTATCAACTGAAAGGAAAGGTGGAATGTTTTCAGGAACCAGAATTGGAAGTAAATCTTATGAAGAGGACAAGTTAGTGTGTGGTTATGTTTTGTTTTGTTTTTGTTCTATTATTCACTTGATCAGCTTTATTAATTCACTATATACTTTTTAAAAATAGCAGCTTTATTGAACTATATGTACCATACAGTTCACCTATTTAAAGTGTTCAATTCAATAGCTTTTAGTATATTCATAGAGTTGTGCGATGATTACTATAATCAATTTTAGAATATTTTATCACTCCAGAAAGAAACTCCATACCCATTAGCAGTGAGTTTCCATAGCCCCACCACCACCACCACCCACCCACAAGAGGCCATGTTTTTTATTGCTCCAGTTTACTCCTTAAAGAAAAGACTTATTAAATAATTTCAATTGGTCTGTCCAAGCAGCATCTGGAGGAGCTGGTCATAAGATTAAGCTTGTACTTTTAAATTAAACTCTGAAGCAAATTAGTATACTGTATTTCTTTTCTGCTTGAATACTAGCCCTTTTATTCATACTCCTTTTGGCAAATAGATGAGGGAGAAAGGTGGAAACCACTGGCTCTGAAACAGCTTAGGAGAGGAGAGGATAGAGGAGCAGGCATCTCTTCTCACTTCTAGATCGGTGAAAGCATATGAGCTCTTCATGAAAGTACTTATTATCTTGCTTATTATCTTATTCTTACCAAATGCACGAGGCTATTTCCTGCCTCCATTTACCACTACGACTAACAATTATTGCTAATATGTATTATTGCTTACTGTGTGCCAGGCATGGTTCTGAGAACTACATACGTTATTTCATGATTTCTTTCTGAGCAATCTTTGAACCTTTTCCTGACCCCTCTCATTTATATTCCTAATGAGTCATGTACAGACTTCTCTGGTAGCATGTATAATACTAAAGTATATTTAGTATGTGTCTATTGCCCTCTACTTAGACTAAGAATTCCTGGGAACAGAGACTATGTCATGTTAGTTCTTCATATCCCTAGTATCTAACGCAATTATAATTTCAGTCTCTGGAATATAATAGACATTCGATAAATATGTAATATCAATAAATAAATGGTAATTTGAAAGACTGCAAGTCTTGTTTATGCTCTCACCACCCTTCATCAAGACCATCTAATATCCTAAGTGGAATTGCTAACATAATCTTATTATTCCCTCTGAAAAAATCTTCAGGGCAAGCAAACAAAAACCTTCAGTGGCTCCACATTTCCTAAAGAATTACTCTTCCCCCTATCCAATTTCAATATAATAATGGAGTCATCACCTTGTCAAAATTTCCCTTGAAAAGATCTTAAGGATCTTCACTGTAAGCCTAAGTTCTGTCCATTAAATGCACACAACCAGCATTGAAATCATTTCTCTGATAATTCAGTGGAATACTAGATGAACCATTTGATTTTATTTTGGGGTCTATAGTTTATAAAAAAGCATATTGTTGCTGGGTGCGGTAGGTCATGCCTATAATCCCAGCATTTTGGGAGGCCCAAGTGGGAGGATTGCTTGAGGCCAGGAGTTTGAGACAAGCCTAGGCAACATAATGAGAGCCTGTCTCTACAAAGAAAAAGGTTTAAAAATAAGCTGGGCACAGGGGTGTGCACCTGTAGTCCTAGCTACTCAGTAGGCTGCAGCAGGAAGATTGCTTGAGCCTAGAAGTTCGAGGTTGCAGTGAGGTATGATGACACCAGTGCACTGTAGCTTAGGCAACAGAGCGAGTCCCCATCTCTTTTTAAAAAAAAAAAAAAAAAAAAAGCATATTGTTAAATATTAAAATCACAATCCCTATAATGAGATTTTTACAATTAAAGAGCATGTAGGAACAGAAACCAAATGAGGAAATGCCATCTTCCACCTAAATTTGACTCTGAGGCATAAACTCATTGAGAGTTTATTCATGTCAACATTTTTTTTTACTAAGGATTAAACTGAACCCATGTTGACTTTTTTTTTTTTTTTTTTTTTTTTTTTTTTTTTGAGACAGAGTCTCACTCTTTTGCCCGGGCTAGAGTGAGTGCTGTGGCGTCGGCCTAGCTCACAGCAACCTCAAACTCCTGGGCTCAAGTGATCCTTCTGCCTCAGCCTCCCAAGTAGCTGGGACTACAGGCACGCGCCACCATGCCCGGCTAATTTTTTCTATATATTTTTAGTTGTCCAGATAATTTCTTTCTAATTTAAGTAGAGGCAGAGTCTCGCTCTTGCTCAGGCTGGTCATGAACTCCTGAGCTCAAACAATCCGCCCACCTCGGCCTCCCAGAGAGCTAGGATTACAGGCTTGAGCCACCGCGCCCAGCCGACTTTTTTTTTTTAACAAGGTATGAGAGAGGCACATCTCACATAGGAGTGTGAAAACCCAATTATCACACTTCCATGTTGACTTTTTGTTTTTAAGAATTAAACTAAGCCTAGGCTGTTTGTGTAACAAACTTCTTTATTGAGCCTTCTAAAATAGCATTCATAGGTACATAGAAAAATGTCCCTAGCTGGGCGTGGTGGGTCATGCCTAGCTGGGCGTGGTGGGTCATGCCTGTAGTCCTAGCACTCTGGGAGGCTGAGGCAGGAGGATCGCTTGAGCTCAGGAGTTCAAGACCAGCCTGAGCAAGAGCGAGACCCCATCTCTAGTAAAAATAGAGAAAAATTAGCCAGGCAACTAAAAATAGAAAAAATTTGCTAGGCGTGGTGGCTCGAACCTGTAGTCCCAACTACTCAGGAGGCTGAGGCAGGAGGATCACTTAAGCCCAGGAGTTTGAGGTTGCTGTGAGCTAGGCTGACGCTGTCACACTCTAGCCTGGGCAACATAGTGAGACTGTGCCTCAAAAAAAGAAAAGGAAAATGTCCCTATTTTCAGTTTCACATATTTTTGCCCTAAAATTAACGTAATTTAAGGCTTTTTATTTCTGCTACAATTAAAATTTTTTACTTTATTGTATATCATGTTGAAGTAATGCCTTCAGATTTCACAAGGTGAAACAGAGTTTAGAAATGAGTAAGTTTGACTCCTGCTTACATAAATGAGGGGCTAAGACCCTGAAGACAACTTCCCCCACAGAAAACAGCTATAAAACCCAGACATGGGGAAAGAAGACTTTTCAGCAAGTGGTATTAGAATAACTGGCTATCTGTATGGAAAAGTGTGAACCTTGACCCCTATCTCACATCATTCACATAAATTTATTTGAAATGGATCAGAGACCTAAATAGCTAGAGGAAGTTCTTCAAACAGAAAAGAAACGATAGAAGAAGGAATTTGGGGATATCAGGAAGGAAAAAAGAACAGAAAATTAAAATATGACTAAATACAATAAACTTTTCTTGAGTTTTCTAAATTATGTTTGACAGTTGAAGCAAAAAGTATACATAGAAGAAATAGTTAAGATAATTATAAATGGGGGAGCATAAAGGGAAGTAAGGTTTTTACACTTCACTGAAACTGGTAAATGTCAACACCAGTAGACTATAAGATATATAATGTAATACCTACAGCAATCACTAAAAAAATAAATAAATAAAAAATAAAGAGATACATTCAAAAATACTATAGATAAATCAAAATGGAATTTTTAAAAATATTCAAGTAACCCACAGAAGGCAAACAAAAAGACAATAAACAGCGGACAAAAAAATAAAATGGCAGACTTAATCACTAACATATCAATAATTACATTAAATGTAACTGGTCTAAATATATCATGACCTAACTATGGCTGTTTTTAAGAAATTCACTTCATATATAACAGTGTTGTTCATAGCAGCTTTATTTATAATAGCCAAAAACTAGTCGGGGGTGCAAACTGTCCTATAATAGGAGAATGGCTAAACAAACTGTCATCTATCCATACCATGCACTAGTTACTACTTAACAATAAAAAGGAATGAATTATTAATATATGCAACAATGTAAAAGAATCTCAAGGACATTATATTGAATGGAAATAAGCAATCTTAAAGGGTCTCACATACTGTATGATTCCATTTATATAACGCTCTCAAAATGACAAGATCATAGAAATAAAGAATAAATTATTGATTAGCAAGGATTCAAGATAGTGGGGGACAAATAGCCAAAGCAATCCTAAGCAAAAAGAGCAAAGCTGGAGGCATCACATTCCCTGACTTCAAATTATACTACAAGGCTATAGTAACCAAAACAGCATGGTA